GAAGAAATTCTCTCTGATGATTTTAGACTAAATACTGAACAATAATACTGAACGATTGGTAAGTGGGCTAGGAGTATTTATCGGTTTCTTTCTTTTTGTAAAGTTCACGGTTTTGATTCTACACACGTTTATGCCACAGCGGAAGCTTTTCACACATTTTTGTACTTTTGTATTCGTTGCATAAGTTAAAATTCATTTTTGGGTATTGGGAATCTTTATTTGTAAATATGCATGTTACAAGGTTTACTTAAACATGCTATTAGCTGGAATGGGAGTTAGCCCAGAATGGCTATTAATCGCGAAACGGCATTTTGTGTCGAATCAATTTAAAAGTCCGAATCACTTTTCAAACTTTTGCCACCAAATATTATCACCCTGTATTATATTTAAAAAAATCAAATAATGAAAACGCTACATGAATTTATGTATGTTTCTCTCATTGTGAAAAAAAAACGGTATCTGGAGTCATCATATTCTGAGTAACATAGACCTTCACAATTTACAACCAAAGAAGAAATAAACTCTTTAATCTCTTTCAGTATTGTTATATTATATTTGTGAAACTGGATTCTAAATTAAGACCGAATGGTAATTCATCTACAGTCTAGGCATACAGTCTAGGTAGACAACTACAGTCTGAGCATTAAACAAATTGAAATTAAATTTAATCTTATTCATGAAATCAAAGGTTATTATGAGTGAATTATCAGCTATCTAAAGCTGCTAATTCGCTCATAAAGTAACGAAAGTTGTCGTTAAAAGCGAACGTTTTTGTAACGAAAGTTTTCCGCCAAAACCAAATATGCTTTTAATAAAGTTAGAGAAAAGAAACATGAAAGCAGTACGTCTAGTGCGGAAAGTCACCACCCAAATCTATGATTTTGACACAAATCTAAGATGTTCTGCTAACGTTTTGGTAGTTTTCAAAGCTTTCAGGTTCGGGAAGAAACTTGGTGGCACTAGTCCAAAAACAGATCAACATCATTTTGGACGTCCTGTGCGGAATGGACGATAGCACCAGAAAGATGTAACTACAGATGTGAAAAAAAGGTAGAACTCCGAATAAGAGATGCCGGCGCAATATGGTGGGTGTAGCAAAATATCCCATTCGAGTCTGTGCAGAGTACAGCCGGCGAATGCAGACACATGTGGTCTTGATGGAACATTATCTTTTTGTGCCGGAATAAAGTTCGATGCTTTTCCTTGTCAGTGGCGTCAAAACAGCCTAGCATCTCACTGTACACCTTACTGTCGAGGTTTTATCTTTTTTCCAGACGCTCTTTGAGGATAATGCCACTGCAATCCCACCAGATACAAAGCATGATCTTTTTGTTAATCAAACTGAGCTTTGCGACGCTGCCCGTTTCGGCCTGTGATGTTGAAGTAAATTACTTTTCATCACAAGTGACGATCTGATCCAGAATTGTTTCCTTGCGTTGATATTCCAGCAGATTAGTGCAGGCCCGAATATATTTGTCCTTAGCTACTTTATTCCGCTCATGTGACACTCATCGACTGAACTTGTACGTCAAGTTTATGTGATGCGTAGCGCGACTAATGGACATGGCACTAACATTAGACGTTAGTGCCATGTCACTAATGTCGACATAATACTGATATTTGTCCGCAAGTTCTCGCAGGCGTGCCTCATCAGAATCAGTAGGCCAGCCAGAGTTTACTATTTGTCGCATTATTTATTCAAAAGTATTTGCATTAGGACTGGTATTTAGTACTGTATTTTACTTTACTTATTATTAGTTACATTAAAATCATTTTATTTATTCAAAAATATTTGTATTAGGATAGTATTAATACTCTATGTTATTTTATTTATTATTAATTACATTAAAATTGTATTATTTATTCAAAACTATTTGCATTAAGACTGTATTTAGTACTGTATTTTATTTTATTTATTATTAGTTACATTAAAATCATTTTATTTATTTAAAAATATTTGTATTAGGACTGTATTTAGAACTGTATTTATTTTATTATTAGTTACATTAAAATTGTATTTCATTCAAAAATATTTGTATCAGGAGAGTAGGACTGTAATTAGGACTGCGTTTAAACCTGAGTTGTTTTAAGATTAAATTTTATGTATAGGAAAGAACAAATAAATTTCAACAATATGCTATGTAATATAGTACCAGACAAGTAAGACTGGACCAAGGCGTCTGGTTGAGTGCGGATGCTCACAACAGCCGTTGGATGCCCAAGATCAGAGATGAGCAAACCTTTTCGATCGCGGGCCAAAAAAAAAAAAAAAAAAAAAAAAAAAAAGTTTGGCGGGCCAAGATGAATTTTTCTAAAATTTTAAAAACAATATGCAAGTATTAAATTTAAATGCGTTAATGAGATGAATGAAACTGCGATTTCATTTTTAAACGTTCCTCAAATTGAGGTTCGAATTGAGATGTACTGATGCTATGCAACGAAGCTAAATGCTCATCTGTCAGTCTACTTCTGAAATCATTCTTTCTAAGGTTCATAGTTGAAAACACTTGCTCATATACATAAGATGAAGCAAAAATAGCACTGATTTTCTGGGCTTGAGATATTAAATTTGGGATACTTGCTTTTGATAATGATTTGCCAAACTCTGACTTTGGCATATTTAGAAACAACTGCTTGAGATGATTGTTACATTGTAGCTCAATTAATTCAAGCTGCAGATCTCACCTCATTGCTTCACAATTTACGTTGAAAGGCATGGTAAGAATATCCAATTTTGTTTGAATGGCACCTGAAATTTGAAATCTGGCGTTGCAGTTTGCAAAATGCAGTTTTGTCAAATGAGTCAAGCCATATTCATAATTCTTAAGCTTCTCTTCATTTACTGAGTGTATTGAATTTAACCTCGGTAAATTAGACAAGTCGTGCTTAGCTAGCTGTCCAGCAAACAGACTTAGTTTGAAAGCTCTGAGATGGGCATAGGTATTGTCAGTAAATTTATTTTTTCCTTGTATCTTGACGTTCAAGTTGCTCATATGACAAAGGAAGAACTGTGAAAAATGCAATGCCCGAAAGCCCTTCTGCATCTTATAACATTTCGCACTCAGCAGAACACTGTTCCTCATGGGATAAACGACACAATACCCTCTTTCACTTGCTTCTTTGAAGACTGCTGCAGCTTCACTGCAGATGAGACACACTGGTTTATCTTTTACAACTGTAAAAAAATATTTCCAGGTCCATTCATCGTTAAATGCACGGCACTCTGAATCAACTTTGAGTTTTTCAGTAGCCATTTTTGGGTTGAAATATTTTACGAATAACCCAAACAAGCACTAGCTACGCTATACTTTTAATAATTTCACCACTATTTACAATAATGCTATATGTCCAGAATCTTTCCATACGCAATCAATAATATTAGAACTCGCGCCAAAAGAAAATGCCGCTGGCTGGAGCTTAAAATGCGCGCTTACCTATATTGGATTCCCATATGTCTGCTCCGAGAAAGAGAAACCTTTTGGTGCAATCTACAGCTAAACTAATAAAAAAAACTCGCTTTACAATTCACGATTGAAAGCTTTGTGCTTCTATTTCCGTCCATTATGTTTTGTAGAACAAAAATAAAGGAAGTATAAATATCAGTCCTTTGAAAAAAGAAGAAAAATATTTTAAACAAGTTTGAAAAGGAGATGGAAGTAATATATAAATAACAGACAGGAATTCTAACGCAAGTCTCCCTAGCGTCAGGTCAGACGGAAGCAATCCTGCACTGCCCATTTTGTACGGATAGCATTGCAGGATGTTTCGTACAATTTTCAGCAGTGTGCTCGTAGGCCTGTCTAGTGTTCCGGCAATTCCTCGTGCATTGCACTGTTGCACACCACCGGCCGACCCCTCCTGTAATGCTGTGACCATTTCTTCAACTACCGTCGAATACACTCGTTTTCTCCCTCTACCAGATTACACATCAAACGAACCTGTCGTTTTGAATTTTTGCATTATTTTCTTTAGATCCACGACACTCATTGGACCAACGCCTTCTTCTATATCCTTTAGTGTCCTGAATTTTTGCAGAACTACTCTTGCACAATTTTTGTAATCAGCTTTCCAGCAGAGCGCGTTCTGCATGAAACACCCAGGAACAGCCGAAATGGACCTGCTGGCGGTTTTATAACACTGAAATTTAACTAACATTTTAATTACGTCTTCTTCCGCTTGCAGCGCCATCTGTAGCTAACGTTTGAAACGAAATTTTTCTTCTGCATACGCTTTCCGCTTCTTCAATAACATTCCTTTCAAATTTGACGTCATTTTCATGAGTGGTTCTTTTTTATAGCGTTTTGAAACTTAAACTTGTTTAATAATAATTAGAAATATACAGATACAGGGTAATTATAATCACCCTGTATCTGTATATTTCTTTTAATTTGCCTCGGACCGGCAAATTAAAATTCTATGCGCGGGCCGGATAGAACCTTCCGGGAGCGCCGGAGTTGGCCCGCGCGCCGTATTTTGCCCATCTCTGCCCAAGATGGTTAGTGGTCAGAAGCGCTACCTGGTGGCCAGTTGGAGACGGATTGGCGCCTTATCCCCTTCTATCCTTAACTCTCGTATCAAAAGCGAAAATGTCTTAATGCACTTTAGCAAGAGTTAAATATAATTAGCAGACGAATCATTTGTTAAATCAAATCAGAAGAGAAACACGTTATTATAAATTTTAAAATTGGCCAAAAAAAAGCAAAATTAGGTTGGTATAGATTATGAATAAAATTGTATTGATTTGTACGCCGGATCGACATATGTTCCTTTTCTCCAGGAGCAAAATATGTTTTCCGCTCCTGAAAATGCGGGTCCTATCGCTTTCGAAATGGATTATTTAAAAATATAGGGTAACCTAAGTTTGCTTTATGCGTAATTTTGAATCATATGTTGCAACATTTTAGGGACTTTCTGAGGTGCCAGTAATGGGAATATTACAGTTATTGTCGCAAGTTCTGTCTTTTGTAACTCACGAAGCACCTTTATCCCCAGTCACTTACCTATCAGTCTCGTCTTTGCCGCCTACGATGTAGATCTTGTCCTTGACGATAGCAACACCATGATACATTCGGCATCGTTTCATGGGAGCCACGCCCTGCCACTTCTTGTTGACTATATCGTACCTGAAGCAAGACTGTGTTGGAACCATTTTCCCGTTTTGCGTATTCTTCGGATCGCAGCCGCCTGTATGATAAGAAGAAAAATCACAAGGCACAAAATTAAGCAACTAAAGACAGGACTGAAAATTGAGGAATAAAAGATTAAACAATTGAAAGAAAGAGTTAAGCCACTCTTTCGTTAAACACTATTTTTACAGTAAGTTAAAATGTAATAAAAAGCAATAGAAAGCAACTGTTTTTCAGATTTACAACCTAATGATCTGTAAGAACTGGATAACTGGTTAATCAATTATGGAAACTCATATAAACTCGAATAAAAATTTTCAGGCGTTCTCCTAAATTTTAATATACTGTCAAAAATGCTGACCTTAAAATTTCCATTACAATTTAAGCCCTCACCAGACGCCAAACGGTAAACTCACTGGTCACTGGTAGTTCGACATGAGTTTTATTGCAGGTGAATGGGCTGGCTGCTTGGGTATTTTCATGTTTTCCCTTCATGTGAAGTTAATTCGATCCAATTTCCCTTCGAAATTCCTTCACGAAAACATCCCTTTCCTTAGGTCGATAGCTGTCGCGTTCTTTGTAATAATCAACTAAAGTTAAACCAAGAATTGTGTAGGCTGAAGATTCTACAAAAGAACTTCTCAGTCATACAAACTGACATTGTTAGTAAATTTCTAATAGAGTTATAAGTGTGTGTCTCTTGTAGGAATATGATATTATTGAATCTGCACTAAATAAACTTATTTCAATAAACAGCAGATTTATTGAAATAGCAAAATGTTATCTGGTTCAAAGGAGATCATGTAATCCATACTAAAGTAAATTTGATTTTTTCGCCGGAGATAATTCTTCCCAGTCGAAAATTTAAACAAACATTAGACTCAACATATTTCATTACATAGTATGCATTATAACTAAATTCATAATGTTAAAAAAACAATAATAAACGCAAATTTTGTTCTTTAGTTGTAACCAGAAGATCAACATTTTGAACACCTCTAGCAACACATTTAAAATTAAATCATAAAAAATATTCAAAGCTGTTGTTTTTTAATTACATACGTCAAGATAACGCACTTGCATTAAACAACATAGCGTGTTAACCTTTAAAAATTATAGCATTAATTACAATTTTAACTAAAGGTGGATTTTTTATTCTCCTATCATTTAGAGCTTTTCAGATTTTTAGCTGAAAAAATTAGATAACTAAGGCTAAATATATTCTAACTTTAACAACTATATTCTTAACGTTTTGTTACATACAGATAATCTAGAGAAGTTAAACAAAAATGTTTGTATTTTTCTACTTAAAATAACCTTAGTAATAAAAAATTTAATTTTATTCAAATTTCGTTTTAAATAATTGCTACAGTTTGTTGTTCACTACAGTGGACAGCATGCATATACGTACATGCATACAAATCTCTTCCCAACGATTTACGGTCATTGCATTTGAAATCATTTCCTGCCTTCTTTGCAGGGATCATTACCATCTTCTAAGTGGTAAATCTACAACTGACATGTACATACACATTCTCCAAAATACCTTCATTTTGTCGATTGTGATTGAATTCATTTTGCTACGATTTTGTAACTTGTACCTATTGGATTCAAATGTCAAACGTTCTGGAAATTCCTTGCCAAACATAAACATTTCCAGTGGTGTTTTGGATTGATAAGCAGTCCATTTGGGTTTCAATTCACCCTTTTCGGTCGATCTTTATCTACCCACTCCATAATTTTCTCAAACTGACATTTAAAATAAAATGTATAAAATGACTAATTATGGAAAACAATGGCAGTATAAGAAAATGTAAGCAGTATTATATAATGTTTACTATGAGAAATGGTACTAACTTGGAAACAGAAGTATAGCAGCCATTTTCCAAATAGCAATGCTTTACTTATTGATGCTATACAGCCATCTAGGATCGACAGTTGAAAGTTCTAATAATATATAGAATGAATAAACACAGGAATGGAATCTGTTAAGGCATTTACAGAAGAATAAACAAATTTAAACTTTTGTCTACTACAATGGACATGATGCAACAAAGGGTTAACTTTAATAAAGTTGAATTTCCCTTATTTAGAATATCGTTTTCTATGTCCTAAACCGATATGGCTGAAATGGTTGCCATTTGGTAAAAAGTTTTAATCAAAGAGGTTGCAATTTCTAGTCCGAAAGAAAGAACCAGCGAACAGGATTTATATTTCCTTATCCAATACAATATAGGGCCAATAAATTAGTGGAGAATGCTATAGCTATTAAAATTAATAAAACTTATGAACTCAATAAAGTTAGTGCATGATTTAATCAGCGCTTTTGACTCAGCGCTCTGAAGCATGAATTAAGTATTGTTCAGAAGCGCTTTTGACTATATTACTGTACTGCTTTCTTGTACTAAATTAGGGTAAAATGACCAAAAAATAACCTGTAAAGACGACTTGTTGTCTCTCTTTCTCATTATCGGCGGCTTCTCCGTGTGTAACGTGTATAAGAGCCAAATTTCCCTTAGGAAGTCCTCCATGTAGGTATTCCTCCCTTAGGCAGATAGCCTTCGAGTGCTTTGCCATAGTCAAATAAACCAAACATTTCTCATTATCAATACAGAATCCACCGATTGCTCTGTTATTTTTTATTGTAGTTCGAAGGTCGATAAATTAGAATAATTTATTAAGAGTAAACAAGGTAGAGGTCGAAGTAGAGGAATGATTTCATGCAAGCCTTTCTAAGAATAAATTACTCATAGTTATGTTAAATATGTGACCGTAAAAAAGAGAAAACATTCCACGCTGCCAGTTAGTTCTGAATATTTTAACCCATATCAGCAAATCGATCTACCAGTGGGCAGATGTTTTTATCTATTTGACCATAAATAAATCAGAAGTAATAAATAAAAAGTAATAAACAAAATATCGGTAAAACATGTAACTTTAAAGCTGCCATTCTGTGAAGTTTCCACTGGGCCCTTTGAAAGTATCTATTTCATTTTTCTTTATAACAGCGAACAGATCGCCTGCATTTTAGGAAAAATCCAAAACTGACAATTTAAAAATTCACAACTTAATTTAACCTTATTAAATGTTACAGAATTTAACTTAAAACTTCATAAAAATTTTTGGCTAATTATTGAGTGCGCTTTATGTTTATGAAAATGAAACCCAAGTATACATCGTCAAAAACATGGCCACTAGTCACTGTCAGTGACCTTTTCAGTCATCAATATAGCGTAATATAGCTGTCGCTGTGACAACAATTTCCAAAGCATTGGACAGTTAAGTGGTTAAAGATTCTATAAAAGCTCCGCTAGAAGCATTTCTAGCATCAAAGTTTCGTGACATAGCGTTTGGCTCACAGAGCACTCAACATCTGAAAATGTTCATATCTGTTGGTTAAGCCTATCTGTTGGTATCTGTTGAAACACACGAAATGTAATTACCTATCTGTTGATTAAAAAGATTGCTTACCAATGCAATATAGAAATCCATTCAAGTAAACCATACAGTGATGATGTCGAGGGTTCTTCATTTGTCCTATGCTTTTCCATTCGTTAAGAGCTGGATCGTACAAGTACATGCCGCAACCTATGAATGGTGAAACAAATTCGGGCTTTAAGTCACAACAAAAATTTATAGCTTAGATCACTCACTTTTGAATAAAGGTTAAAATCATCGCATATAATGTCGTAGGAAGGTTAAACTCAGGATACAGCTCGCTCCAAAAAGTTAAGTACATGATTTATTCTGTATTTTACTGTATATATTTTCTCAAAATCGAGAACATGTCCAGCAAGTGTGTGAAAAAGTTCTAAAAACAGAAGATTAAACTTTGAATGGAATTTCCACGCAACAAAGTGTCTGAACAGTAAATATGGTTTGGATAATAAGTAGTAGCAAGATATCAATAGTTCTGAATTGACGTTTACCGTAGATGTAAATTTTAGAGTTACTCATTATAACTGCCTTCTGTGTCTGCCACAATCTGTCAAATTACTTGAAGGCACCATACACTACCAGAACAGCCACTTCTGTTGGTGTGGCGCAGATATTGCACTATAAAATGTAGCATAATTTAGCTTCGTAGCATAAACTATGTTTTCGAAGGATAGACTATGTTTTCAAAGCATTTTCGAAGCATAAACTATGTTTTCGAAGCATAAACTATGTTTTCATAGCATAAACTAGGTTTTCGTAGCATAAACTATGTTTTCGTAGCATAAACTATGTTTTCGAAGCATAAACTATGTTTTCGTAGCATAAACTAGGGTTTCGAAGCATAAATTAGGTTTCCGTAGCATAAACTATGTTTTCGTAGCATAAACTAGGGTTTCGAAGCATAAATTAGGTTTCCGTAGCATAAACTATGTTTTCGAAGCATAAACTATGTTTTCGTAGCATAAACTATGTTTTCGTAGCATAAACTATGTTTTCGTAGCATAAACTATGTTTTCGTAACATAAACTAGCATCAGCCATCTAGCAGACATTAAGCGAATTATAGCCGTATCTGGACAGAACTACAAATTCTTAAGAAGGTTTTAAAACAAACCTTTTATTAAATCATAATTGGAACATAAACACACGACTCATGCTTACAAATCAGCCAACCACTTGTGGCGATGTAACGTAGTGTAAGGGTAAGTTCAAATTTAAGATTAAGCTACTAATTCAGATACTACACAGTTCAATTTAACGCTAAGTTGGCTCGCAAATCTAACCGGGGTAAGTATTTAAATGGTGGCACTATATTGCGAAGCCCAAGAATGAAATCCTGTCCGAGCTAGCAAGAACCCGGTAACGTTGTAGGGACATTAGGTTTTTTTGTAAAGCAGTGGTCATGAAAAATGAGCAACGCCTTTGCCGGAAATCGGACCACGGACCTCTGGAATACGCACCCAGCGTACAGACCACCACACCACAAAGGCATGCTAAGAAGGCGGGAGAAATACCTTATAACGTGGCTTCGAGAGGCTGAACATGCTCTGTCTTAGAAACCAACGATCTTACCCTAAGCTAATTTGCATTCTGGTAGAAAAACAGAAGGCTGAAATACCCTAAAATAATTCGCATTCTGGTAGAAAAACGGAAGGTGTAAGTGAAAATAAAAATCTAAATCAGTGGTGCCCAACCTTGTGATCGCCAATCGTTTTGCATACACTCGCCAGCCCGATTAGGTACTACGAACAAACAATATTTTAAAAATAACTATTCATTTATATTTCTTAATTGTTAAAATATGGTAAGTTATTTATATTTCTTAATTGTTATATATGGTTATTAATCATAAAAGATATCTTGCAAGACGTTATAAAATAATTGATTGTTGACTGACGAACTTGATGGCGAACATGGAATCTTATTGCTTCATTCCGATGTTAGATGGCTCAGCAGGGGAAATCTATTTGAACGATTTGTATAACTTCTTTCGCCAATAAAGCAGTTTTGGGAATCCGAGAACGAAGTTATAAAGAATTGGACGATAATAATTGGTTATCCGATCTGTATTTTCTCACGGATATAACAGCTAAACTGAACAAGCTGAACGAAAATCTCCAGGGGAGGAAAAAAACCCTTTTACAGTTGACTGGGTCTGTAACTGCTTTTCAGATAAAGTTAAATTTGTGGATGAATCACATGAAAGAAACAGATTTCACCCATTTTTCAGAATTTATCAAGGCATATTAATAACCGCACGGCAATTGAAGCAGAGATATACTCGAAAAGCCAAATGCACTGAAAAATAATTTTGAACTCCGAATCTCTGATTTCCATAAAGTTCAATCAATATTCATCTCAATCCCATTTGCCGAAATTAATATTTCAGATGTATCACGTAAGATTGGAAATATGTTTAAAAAAATTGTTGATGTTTTGAAAATGTTCTCGCCATATGCCAAAATGAGCTCGCGATAGGCCAAATTGTGCTTGCGAGAGACTAAAGGTTAGGCACCACTAATCTAAATCATAATAACTGATTAAATTAACATGAAGGAGAGTTATACAAGGATAACTCCCCATTATTGTTGTAATGTATTCCTCGTAGCAGGTCTTTGACGATGAGATCACATTCACGTCGTCTCATATTCTGTCACCATGGAGGATTTTCTAGTACCTCACATTACCATCGTCTCAGAAAATCGATGACTCCGTTGACGAATACAGGACCCATTTAAGTACCAGGATTTGTGGATGGATTACAGTTAATTATGGATTTACCATGGCAGGATTAACAGTGCCCTGCCTAGAAAATGTGTTAAATTCATTTATTGCGAGACAGTGGAAGCAGTATTATATATCATCAGCGTAAAGCAAAACTGTCTATACAAAATACAAAAAGGTAACGAAAAAGAGAAAACTGTTCTTTCATGCTATTTATAAGTAAGATTATTTCTCCTCTAATAAATTCTACCATTTGTAACAGTATTGTTTTTAATACAGATCTAATTAGTGTACAAAATGAGCTATTCTATAGTTTAAATTTCATGAAGATGAATGTTTATCAGTAGTATTTCTGTATTACTTATAATATTGGTTATTTCTCTTTCACATGTTTTTCTAACTGCCTTTGAATTATGGTGATTTTAAATCAACTATGGACGTCATCTTTGGCACTCATGGTAAAACAGTGATTGTATAGCTAACTTCATGTTAATGACGGTATATCACTGGCTGTATATCAATTAAAATTTCTCTCAATAACAGATTTTTCTGATAAAAGACAAACTACAAGAAACTGTAGCATTAAAGAAACCAGTAAAGCATTTTCTAAAATCATCCATTATACCCCAAATGTAATTTTGCTATCTTGAGAAGAATGGGAACACTTTTTCCATTACCTTGAATCCTGCTACAAAAGGTTTACAAAAATACCGATTGCTACAAGGGTTCAGAAATGTTACTACAATTAATTTAAAAAATAATATTTTTGTCGAATTTCAACAAAAATATCCATAGGTGAATCCATCCAAAAAATAATCCATAGATGATGAATGCAAAAACCAGTCATTTCTTTTTATATATGGAACTAGTTTGGGTATGAATGATCCGGATAATGGTTATTCGAAACCTATTTAATTCGAATAAACCGAGTTCTTGTGGTATTGATGTGACCAAAAACATCATTGGCTGACCATTAAACTTCTGAATTCATTTCGTGAAATGGAAGCATGTTTCGAAACCTACTTATGCTTCCATTCTTAAAGCAACCTCTCTCTATTAAATTGGAGTATTGTTAAAGAAATTTAATTAAAATAATAAATAAGTATTTAATTAAAGGAATTAAAGCATTCTCTATAACTTGAAGCATTTAATCATAGTAATAGCTGAAATAGATTAGATTTTACTTTCGAAATCGTAGCTCTAAACTGAATCTTATAATACCCGGCATTTTATTTATTATCATAAACTGCAATACGTGTCTCTTGCAAAAAAGCTTTCTCCTACGTTCTCTCTAAACTGATAAAATTCTAAGAAACTTTATCTTGTCATACAAAGTCGACTATTTGACAGGACCTCTTCTGATACCGTATGAAGTAAAAAGAAACTATCAAAATCGATAGTGAAAACACTGTTGAAGAACCTTCCGCCTCGACTTTTTTTAATGTAGATTTTTCTCTTCTATGTTTGCAGTAAAACTCGAGTTATCTGAAATTCCAATTATCCCAGTTACTTGGTTTTCGTTCGAAGCAAAGCTTGCTATCGATTTTTGTACGTATTTAAAATTTTATTGTTGAATGAACTGAAAAAAAATCTTCAGTTTGAGAACTTCCGATTAGTGTCTAAATATTTAAGAAGAGCATCCATTAAAAGTTTTTAAAGATTAAAATATATGTATATAAATTATAAATACACTGCTGGCTACCCAAATTGCAACACCAAGAAAGACAAGAGATATCACAACAAAATTTATTTAGTAGATAACATGTGGACCAAGTATCAAATGATTAAATTTATAGATTTCAGTGAAGTGTGGTTCATTCCAGAATCAGTAGCCAGAGTAGCCGCCATTGTTGGAGATCACATTCAAAAGAGATTTTGTATGTGTTCTTGGGGTACAGCAGACCAAGCAGCTTCCACATGTTGCCAAATTTGATCTGGTTGGCAGCTTGGGATGTAATCTGGGTCAATCGTTCAGCAACCATGGACCGCATGTTTTCTATCGGCGAACGATCCGGAGAGCCAGCCGGACAGAGAAGCAATTCAATCTGGCGAATGACGAAGAACACTTGGACAATTCGTGCCACGTGTGGTCGAGCATTATCCTGTTCAAATATGGCTGTGGGCAATCTCTGAATGTAAGGAAGGACAACTGACTCCAACACCTCGGAGACGTAGCGCTGGCTATTTAAAGTACCAGCGATGCGTATTGGAGGAGTGCGAGAGTCATATCCAATACCGCTTCATACCATAATACCCGGTGCAGGACCAGTGTGGCAGTGCATAACGCAGCTGTTCAGCATCCTCTCTCCGCGGTTCTCCAGACTCGAATCCGACCATCTTGGAGTTGCAGACAGAAGCGTGACTCGTCAGTAAAGACAATTTCATTCCATTCTACCGTCGACATCCTTCTTTCATCGCACCATTGGCGGCAGAGACGTCTGTGGTTCTGCGTCAAGGGTAGACGAAGCATGGACTTCTTGCGGACAGACCACCCTGCTGTAAACGGCGTCGAATGGTACGTGCAAACACTGGATGATGCGTTACAGACTGAATGTGCTGTGCTGTGGTTCGTGATGTGACTGAGCGATCCGTCACTGCCATGCGCATAATGTTCCTGTCATGACGTGAAGTGGTGCACTGAGGTGGATGCACGTCGTGGCAGGCTTGCCACGAAGTGCAGAGTTATCTGATTTCGAGAAAGTTTTAATTGTCGGGTATCACAAAAATGGCCGATCCTTAAAGGGCATGTCTAATGAGCTGAATTATCCAAATTCAACAATGGTTTATGGGGTTCAGAAGTGAAAGGTGAGCGGTAAATATCTGAATGTGCTTCGAGTTAGCAGACTCGTGTAGCGGAGAGACAGGGACCGACGGATGCTGTCCAGCGAAATTCGGAAGAACGGCACCCAACCGATAACCCACATATTCCAGGAGTTTCAACAGCAATCAGGAGTGTTGTTTCCATGAATACCATCCGTATGAAAGCATATCTGCGTGGTTTGTATGGTCGTGCTGCTGCCCATAAGCGTTTGATCACAAAGTCCAATCGCGCTGCTCGGTTAATGTGGTACAAAGTACGCCGACAATGGACCTTTGATCAATGGAAATGAGTTCTCAGGAGCAACGAATCAAGGTTCACCTTCTACCATTCGGAAGACAAGTCTGGGTCTAGCATCTCCCTGGAGAACACTTCCTTCCAGAATGCACTGTGCCCACAGTAAAGTTCGGCGCAGGTGAAATTATGATCTAGAAGTGTTTCTCCTGGTATGGATTGAACTCTTGGTCCAAATCCATGGTAAACTCAACAACGATGCCTGCTGCATTATTTTGGATGACAGTGTGCTTCATGCGTTATGGCAGTTTTGCGGGTTGGACTCATGTTACTTTCAGGACGATATCGTCACAGTCTTTTACTTCGTACAAGGAAGTAAGAATGTATTAAAAGAATTGAAATCTGAAAATTTAATTAAATAAAAATGCTAATTTTTTTAAAAATTCCTTATAAGTGCCTGAATATGGTATTACAGGTGGTCTAAAGATCTCCAACAAATATGTACGTAAATATGAACGACGAATATCCCTTGCGAGTGATATATATCACTGTGAAAAGTACATCTTATGCACAGCAATACATTTTTGTAAGGTACAACGAAAGATGTGTAATCAAATACAGGTGTTACAAATTGCAATATACTTCAGTCGAATCATAGAAGAAAATATTTGTTCAGAGTAAATGGTTTGTTAATGAGATATTTAAACATTAAATTTTTACAAAACTAATAACTTCTGTATTAAAATGTCTGTCATGCAGGCGAAATACGCTTTCTTCAGAAAATTATATCATATTCAGAAAATTAAATCATATCCTATTTATTACCCAAGTATTCGAGTCCATTAATTTATGAAAAATTGCTCTGCGTTTTTCTTGGTGCTACGAATTCGGTGTTTTTACTACACACAGGCAATTAATCAATACAAATCCCAGTTAATACGCGCCTGTTTCTTCTATTCGTTCTTAACTATTTCATCTAATAGGCTAATTTGAACTTTCTTGTTTAACGTGCTCAGTACATGCATGAGAAATCAGAGATCAACACCCCGAGAGCAGACATTAAGATTACTCTATGAGAGAGTCATAAATAATATTACAAAATGCAGCTTACTCACCGGAATTATCATCTTCAACACTTTGGGAGTTGAAACCTCCGGTTACGATAATGGCACGGTAAAGGATGTCATCATCAGTTAAGGATGGACGAGGAGAGTAACTCTTCGATCGCTTGAATTCTGAAACCTGGAGCCCGTTCTCCTTTTCATCTGTTGGATAGACTTGGATTCGATGAACTGTTTGGGACCGTTTCAATGAGGCGTCCTCTGCTATGCCGACCTAAAATGAAAAATCATCAAATTTATGTATCAGGTGTGTTATAAATCCGTTTTTGAAAATTGTATGCAATGTTCAGGGTCTCCGAGAATGAACAATGGGATTTTATAAGGTCTTTATAAAATATAGATGATCTGCAATGGACTGAGAGTGTCTTCATTTGATTCAGTCAGTTTAAAAGGTTAAGTGCAATCGTTTTATTATACATTCGATGCGTCAGACTTAAACATCTATGTCTAGGGTACAGAAATAAACCTATTCTCTGTCTCGCAAGAAGTTCTGATATGACTATGGAATTTTGTCAAAAATGAGATTTACAGTGAAAGAATTAGTAATCTTGACCACCTTAAAGTGAAACCCATTCAAGCAAGCATTCCTATATAAAACAAGACTCTCAAATCACTATACATTTCACCATGTGACACTTTTTAGAAAACGTTTTGCAAAAGTTACTCCTTTGCACATGTTGTCTACGAAAAATGTTACAATCAGTAAATTGTGTTGTTGTTGCCACCACTTGTCTGACAATGGTCAGCGCATACCTACGACAATCATCGTGGTAAAGAGTCAAATGCGCATGTTATTGGCAAAAGCCTTGAGTACCACATAGGTGACAGCCCGACATTAGCTCAGTTCCGCCCTCCCCCTAATTTTGAGACTAATTAATTTGAGATAATAATCTCCCACTCCGGGAGGACAGGTCTGAGGATCTGCCACCCCTCTCCCTCTACCATCAAATCCTCAAAAGGACTTTCGACTCGCCGAGATGCAGCACAGATACTATGCATTGCCAAACATCCATGCCTTCTCTGCTCAGACATTACATACATTGCCAAACATCCATGCCTTCTCTGCTCCGACACTACGTGCATTGCCAAACATCCATGCCTTCTCTGCTCAGACACTACATGCATTGCCAAACATCCATGCCTTCTCTACTCAGACACTACATGCACTGCCAAACATCCATGCCTTCTCTGCTCAGACACTATATGCATTGCCAAACATCTGTGCCTTCTCTGCTCAGACACTACATGCATTGTCCAACATCCATGCCTTCTGTACTCAGACTCTATATGCATTGCCAAACATCCATGCCTTTTCCAGGATTCGATCCCAAACCCTTCGGTACGATAGTCACAGTCACTAACCACTACTCCGGCTAAGCAGTTTCAGTACATTGTTCTTTACCCTGTAAGATATATTTTAATTTTATAACAATTATTTTAATTTAGCGAACCTTTCCTGTCTTACCTCGCTTCAACTTGAAACTCCCTACCAGAATGAATTTTTAGAATTTCGTTGAATGCATTTGAGGAAAAGAATAGTATTTAAGTCAAGTTTAATAACTTCGACAGAGCGAGTGAGGATTTTTGAGTAGGAAACGTTTGCCTTTGGGCTACGTCTATCTACATTGTTGTTACGCTCGGCCGTATTACGTACCTGTACCTTTTGATAGTTCGCCGGCTAATTTAAGATTACGGGCCAACTAGTACAGAACTGTGTTAGCTTCGGCTAAATCCCTTAGTAGGTCATTAGTTAAGTTCTCATTTCTTACGATTGAGTTTAAGCATAAGTGGAGGCTTTGCTGTACGCCCGAAGAAAGGAGCCGACTGTTAATCTTATATTGAGTGAATAAAGGGTAATTAACCCTTCTTGAGTTTATGCTTTCTGTTCTTTGGAACTAAGCGCTTCTTCGCTTACCAGTTCACTAGGTCCCTCCACATTTCATTTAACAGGATAAAAGTAAGCATCTCTATCACCCAATTAAGTCTTCCTTAGGAAAACCAAAATTTTGGTCGGTAATAAGAAACCTTGGATGGGAAAATCTTGCTAAAACTTTCCCAGTTTAGCCTGTTGAATTCAAATGAGAAAGGCGATACAGAACAGTATAAATTTTAATTTTATTACGTATGGAATTGCAAATTTTAGCATTTTTGCCAACAGTAATGTGAAACTAGTTTTCCAAAATTAATTTCTTTTTACGATAAAACTGATTATGAGAAATTTCTACTGAAAATTTCGCATATCTGAATTGTCTAAAAGAGAATTTAGGAAATTCTCAAATTTTTTATTTATAGATGGATTCGGCCATGGCAACTGAATGAACAATGAAAAATGCCCAGCAAAGGGTAACAACAGATCTCATCTGCTATTTATTACTTTTATAAAAAAAGTAGCATAGGTTTGTTCCTGAAAAACTCAACAGAAGAATGATAATAATGCATACATTTTGTATCTGATTTACAACGCGTAAATGCAAAATTATGTGATTTTTCAAAATTAACCGGCCATTTATGTATTTGTTATGAGAAGATCCAGGCCTGCCACTTAACGGAGAGTATGCCTTTATTTAATCAAATCAATTGTAGAATAAAAGCACGTTTGCATTTAATGATTTTTTTCTTTGCGTTTCTAAGATAATTATCCATTCCTTTGTGTTCAATATACCAACGCACTATACGTTATAAATACGTAATGCCAAACAAGTCAGTCTAAAACCGCATAAACCAAAGAAATGTTAAGAGGAAAATGTTGGTTTATTTCGCATTTCAACGTTTAATTTATCTAAAACGGAATATAAGTTTAATTCATCTAAAACATAATATAAATACTACGGTTTAGTTTATCTAAACGTAATAAATTTGTAATAAACGGAATATATACTCTTTAATTTATCTTAAAATGAATATATACTGTTTAATTTATCTTAAACAGAATATATACTGTTTACTTTATCTTAAACGGAATATATACTACTATAAACCGAATATATACTTTAATTTATCTAAAACGGAATAAATACTAAATCGGAATATATACGTTTAGTTTATCTAACACGGAATATATGCGTTTAGTTTATCTAAAACGGAATATATACCTCTAAAATGCTCTCAAGAGTTTTTAAGAATTTATGTAGGCTGGCTGAAAAACTTTAAGGTTGCTGATTTGTATTCAAACACAGACGATAGACCTACATCTTTATTTCCTTTCCAAAGTCCTCCACACTAAATTACATCTTTTTACAACATTCCAAGAACGATTCAAAAACATGAAATAACACATGGCATTTCTCAAATGATGAGAATCTCTTTCTACGCAATTGTCTTTTTCTTAAGAATATTCAGAAATCGCATACGATAAGCACATTTGGAAAAAAAAAAAAGGGGGGGGGAGACAGTTTTATATCTTTCGTTCTACTGCGCCGATTGACGAAATTCAAATTGCGTTTATCATGTCTCGAAAGTGCGACTTAGGATATATATTAGATTTATATATAGTATTGTTCTAGCATAGGTATTTTTATACAAAACAGGACTTTTTCTGAAATAACACACCAATTTTTTACGTATTACGATTCTACGATTCAAATTACGCCTAAATATTAAATGTTGTAAAATCTGGAGCGAAATTTACGGAGAAATTCATAAATTTATCTTGGCGTCTTTTTTTTTTTTTTTTTCAGTTTGCGCCAAGAATAATTTCCTTGACGAATTTCTTAATATATGGCAACCCATTTTTCTTTTCCCTTCCATTGTGCAGGACCGGAAAAAAAGGCCGCATCGTTCCCTACTTTTTGACATTGTGCATGAGCAGAAAAAATGTCACATCGTTTTCATTTCAAAGAATTCTAACAAAGTGCCTAAGCCCCATTTGATGTTATTATGGGTTTCAACAAATATGCCAAACTTAAAAACGCACCAATATATAAATTCACGTATATCTTCGGAAATTTTGAACAAAAAATTTTCATTTTTTTTTTTTTTTTTTTTTTTTTTTTTTTTTTTTCAGGTATTAAGCAGAGATACATCTATTTCAAGATGATGGTAAAAAATTTTATAGATTATAATTCAAAATGTTCTTCGAAAAATTAATAAAAATTATTTAAAAATACAAATTTCCAAAATAAATCATAAAAAATCTGATGTGTACACCACATGACTTCCTTGTACGGAATATTAAATTATACGCATTTTTTCTTGCATTTCATTTAAACTTATTGGATTGAATTAAATCTACTTCGCCGACTGCGCATAAACCACAATAGAATAAATGCATTCTTTAAAATTCACTCTTGTATTTGTTTACCATAGCGACACTCTGGCGCTAGATTCACTTAACAGTATTATATTTCGTTCATATTATAACTCATAATACACAAAATTTATACCATTTAAAGAATATAATTATCTAATCGTTGCCACATGTTCTATTCAAATACTATAATAAAGCTAGAATGATGTATAAAAGAAATTAAGCAAACAAAACAAAAAAGAAACAGTTTTTCACAGACGATTGAGTATTTCTCATTCAATTAATTCAGTTTTCACTTCGCGACAAGACAAAAATACATGAAAAGCTCAAAATATCTGTATTAAAAATTACTAACTATTAAAAATTAAATTACTAATTATTAAAAATTAAGTAAATCTTAAACACTTATTTCCTCAAAAAAATTCCAGAAAGGATTAAGCATGATTTAATTCGCAATAATAAATGAAGGCGTTATTTTTGTTGTTGCGAAGCTTAGTCTCTCTAGATTGGCAACAAATCTACAATTCTGCTGTTTCAAATGTAAACAATCAATGGCCGCCGTAAAAAAAAAAGGCTTAGCAGCACTTGAACAACTTTAAAATTGTTGATAATTCTAAAAATATTGCACACATATTTACTAAAGGCATAAAAACCTTAACCGGAAGATAAAAACAACATAATTCAATCATTTTTAAAGCAACAAATGTACAATTTACAAACATATACGAGGAAAACTGAGATCACTGATCCGGGTAATAGAGTGGATATATATATAAATATATTTATATACGTTTGGTGCGGCCGATTGCAACCAAAATACGAGGTGCACGTCTACAAGTTATAGCAGTCCTATATACAAAATTTCAACGTTCTGAGGCTACTCGTTTTTGAGTTATGCGAGATACGTACGTACGTACATACGTTCGTACAGACGTCACGAAAAATTCTCTTCAGAATTAATTTTAAAGTAGTTTTATCATTTTTTTGGAGGAAACGAGTCTTTTATTCTGTCCTTACGTACAGATATCACGCAAAAACATCGTTAAGTTGCATTCGATAGCGGTCAAAATGGATATTTTCGTTGAAATATGCTGCCTGAAACTTTTTGCGATTACAATACTTCCTTTTTACTTCGTACAAGGAAGTAAAAACGAGCGAATTTATAAAAATTCCTGGAACCTAAATTTTCTCGAAAAAATGGAATGAACCTAAATTTTGAAATGTGAAAGGAAGAATGAAATAAGTTTAATAAAACAGAGATATTAATAAATACTATATACCAAACTCATTTAACATTGAGGAGCTAATTTTTTTTTATAATTACTCGTGCCATTTTTACAAAACTTAGCAGTTTGGCATAATTTGAATGGTCGAATCGAAATATGGAAAAAAAAATTGGCATGCCATTTCAGAAAAAGTCCGATTATGTGTCAAAATACCTATATTAGAATAATGCTATATATAAATCTAATGCATATCCTAAGTCGCGCTTTCGAGACATGAAAAACGCAAGTTGAATTTTGCCAATCGGCAGATACAGAACTGTAATATTTTTATTCCCCCCCCCTCCCCGCAGTGTACGTTCTAAATAGATAGAGCCATTGAACAATCTTCTTCCTAAATACGAGACTTAAAGAAATCAGCCTTATGGAAGACAATATGTAAGTGATAATTACATCGGATGGGTATTGCTTAGTAGCTTTCCTGGCAGTGCGTTTGGCAGAGAGAACATCCAGACTGTTCCTCTTCTGTGGAACTTGTCCGCTCAAAGAACTGACACTTTCTCTCGATGATCCACTTGAGCTTCCTCTTCTCTTGAAGTTCATAAAACCCTAGAGAAGAAAATGTGCCAGTTTCACATCAACCATTTAGTGAGTAAGGCCGTAGTGTGGTCTCACAGATGGAACAGAAACGTTTATTGGTACTAACTCCGGGGCATCAGTAATGTTGGACATCGCTTAGTGTTTCAGCTATGACAGGTAAACTACGGAGTATTATAATAAGAGATAAAGAGAATGGAAAGCACAGTTTCATCGCTGATATAATTTTCTAACGATAGCAATATCACTCTACATAAAACTGCTTAGTTCCGAAATTTTACCCAAAAGAGAGGGTGAACTTTCATTGCTGAAATGAAGTTTCCAGACAACAGGAAACTTTTCAGTATGTCAGATTTCTCCATTATTAAAGGGAGTTTAGTTACTAAAATGGATGAATGGTATATTCACTTAATACTCACTATGGAATACTCACTTAATTAAGATTCATGTTAGCTATGAACCAATGCAATAGTAATGTTACTGCATGTATTTGTATGTGATTGTAACGACGATAAGGTCCATTTATATTATTAACAATTTGGTAATTGGTAAAGGTAACGTCATGACTGTAATATCTGGCGACTGTTTGGTGATCAACAAAGCGCACTTGGTGCATCTCGCCTCTTTTCCCGAAAAGGTTGTTACATTTAGTGGAGTTGAACGTTCACCGCGGAGAAGCGAGGTGCTCGCTTTTGCTGTGCTGTAAAAGCGATATTCTGCTCCGAGTTAAATTTATATGCCTTAACGTTATTTTAACCTTTTGAAGCCGGGGCTTTGGTAGCAGTAAAAGCTACCAAAGGATGGGGAATCTTGAACTGAATGCTTTACCCCCTTTAAGAAATCACTTCCTATTTGCAACAAAGATTCTTGTGTGTAGTTTAATGGATTCTCAGAGGGGTGCATCTATGTCGCAAAAGGAAGACCTTGCAAAGAGATAAGTGGTTAAAACCCTAGGGACATCAAATTTGACATTTCACTACACTTTTCAGCCTGAAAAATGGGGGAAAAAGACATGGCCTCTAAAGTGGACAAACCCGTCTTTTCAAAGAGTGGACTCTATGGCCACTATAATGGCTGTCCCGTCTTCAAAAGGTTAATAAATGTTCTATTTTATTTTGTCAAACGGTGTCTTCATAACTACGAAGTCGTTACAATGACATCACAATAAGTGAGAATGCTTATTAGTAAAGCACTGAGAATTGGAGGCGTTAATATATCTTTGACATGAAATTACACAAAAACATCGCTTGTTACTAAAAACTGCTTAGTTACTAAAACTATTCCGTTACTAAAAGATATTGAGGTCTGGAAATGAAGATTCATCGCTGACTTAAAGTTTAAAGCGAAAAGGAAAGCGTAGCCAAACTACATTTAAAAGTTAAACCTTCATATTTATTCTCAGAGTAATGAAGACTTAGGTTCTAGAAATTTTGGTTTAAAATGCTTTAAACATACCAATCGGTCGGTTGAAGACACTTTCCGCTTTGGCTGCTTCTCGTCGTGCTCTTCATCTTCCATCCTAGACTCCTGTAAAATGAAATAAAATTCTTGTGTTACTAAAGAGAGTGAACTGTACATTTTGTTGAAACGGTCACGGACCATCGAAAATATCACAAATGAAATCACTGCAGTGTAAACAACAAATAAGAATCGCAACGCAACTATTGTTGTTGTCTTGTCTATATTACATGGAACAATGGTTGCCAGAGCCTACTCCGAAGAGAGGTTGGACTTCGATTTTCCAAGCCCAATTTTGAGGAAGAGCATTCCGGAGGATTCCCGCCCCTCTCCCCTTCCACCAATCCCCACGAGAGGACTTTCGGCTCGCCGCATGATGTTGTGTAGCGAATTTAATTTAATTAAGTGATTCATAAAAATCAAAATTTTAATTTGTAATTATTCAAAATTTGAGCTACACAAGTTTGGTTATATTCTTTTTGGGCCTATTAATTCTAGTGTAATATATTTTGGCTTTCCGAGTTTACGCGAACTGCGTCTTCAATCTTGTACACGCAAACAATGGATAAGTATTTTTGTTTCTACGTAATAAACTCAGTTTTTTCATGTCAAAAATTAATTTGATTTCTTAGTATTTAATATCATTAGTTGCAGAAAAATTAGCTCTTTAATTTGGCATAACTTTCATTTTTCTAACTTTAATTGCATTTCAGTTATGAGCTTTAATTAGTAGATTTTTTCTTCGTTTCGCTTGTGATTTTTTTAAAGGGGGATGAAATGCCTTCTTTCCGGTTGAAAAGTCACTTTTTGCGAGTTTTCAGCGTTCTTTCGTTGGGACCCTTGCAGGGTTGTTGAAATTCCTAATTTCCCCCGGTCCGCAGGTGGTGGTTATTTTGGCGAGGGTTTGGCGACATAGATTTTCCGTTGAGGTTTCAAAATGTGGTGGAATTTTTGGTTTATTAAACATTTCATTTTTTTGAATTTTAGTTTGAGAATTTGATAACATGAGGGTATGCAGATGTTTTTATTTTATGTGGTTGCAACTATTTTCAACTTTTCGGCGAAAAATGGGTTGCGCCAACTTGGCAGTCCGGCGCTCTCCCTTTTAACGGGTTGTTTTAGGGACGAGCTTTTTTTACACTTTTTGCACTTTCTACTTACCATCTGACGCTGTCTCGTTGGCAGCAGAATTTTCATCTCGGAAAATGCATTTTTCCGCCTTTGGATCTACGGGCCTCTTGCCCTGGAGTTTTTGAACGAGGGACTTAGTTGCACGCATTATGACCTCGACTAAATTATAGGCTCCTCAGTTTGCCGTGCCTTAATATGTAAGTTACTCAAAGATAATTAAAATAGGAAAATGCAAAGAAGAGTGATGCCTAGTTCTAGTGCCGTTAAGAAGAAATTTCAGTCTCTCCTCCATGAATAGAGTATCATCTACATCGATAATCCAAATCTTTAAGAATTAATTGCCGCCATCAAGAGTCTTCTGCATCGCTAGTGATGCCTAGTTCTAGTGCCGTTAAGAAGAAATTTCAGTCTCTCCTCCATGAATAGTTTCCATCTGCTTCGACCTTCCTAATCTTTAAGAATTAATTGCCGCCATCAAGAGTCTTCTGCATCGCTATTTCCGGTGTCCCACGACAAAAATGCTAACTTCAATATTGGATTGGACATCAAAGAGAACCTCCGTAGTGCTTCTTAAATCAATGGAAATGGCCGGACTTTTTTGAAAACTATCCACTTACGAACTCTTCTCATTTTCTACTACGCTCAGCAGCCGTCCTCCTTGGCATCTTGATAATTTTTAAATATGAGGGCATTTCTCCTCCTCCTGTTCATCTGCAGCTTGTATTTCATAAGTTCCTTTTATTTGTTTTCTTTTATTTGTTGGTCGGATATTTAAAAAAGAAAAAATTTATAATAGGTAATTCTTATAGTAAAGTTTACTAGACATTTCTAATAAGTAATTCTAACAACTGAAATAGTTAATAGTGATTGAAATAACTTAATTAGTTGAATTAAAAATTTTGTAGTTGAGTAAACTAACCTAATTCTAATGAAATCATTTTGTTGTCCATAAAGTAAATTATTAGATTGGCCAAGGAAATATATCATTATTTAAATTAGTTAATTGAAACTGTGAATGTAAATTAGTCAGATTGGTTAAGGAAATTTAATTCTTCATTAAATTATTTAATTGAACTTGTGAATTTCTTTCTTGGTGAAGATTGATTGGTAAAGGTGTCATTATTTGAGCTTCTTTGCTCCTCTTAGGATTAAATTGCTTGTAGGATGTAATAGCCTGATTCTAATTAACATTATTACCCGGTTAAATCATTCTTTTTGAAAATAGAAAAGTTACTATGTGCAATAATTCCTTTATTTCTGATTAATGTTTACAATAATTGTACTTTAGTATTGATTATTCTGAGTTAAATTGCTTGTAGGATGTAATAGCCTGATTTAATTAACATATTACCCGGTTAAATCATTCTTTTGAAAATAGAAAGTTACTATGTGCAATAACCAGAATTACATTGGTATTGATTACTCTGTGTGAAATGTTTTTTTTTTTTTTGGAATGTATGACTTGTTAATTATTCTTTTTTTTTCTCCCCGGGGAGGGTATTGTTAATTTATCCAAAGTTTTATTCTAATCATATTTATCTGAATGTAATAGCAATAATAGTTTGATATTATTGAGTCTAAGATAAGAAGTAATATTACTCTGTAGAGGTATGCATTTTGTAGAAAGCAATATTTTACAGTTCAGCTTGAATATGATTTGCTTACTAAGTTAATTATGCACTGTGTAAAAAAATCAATATGTTAACAGTTCTGATTGAATATTAATTGCTTACAAATTACTGGACTAAGTAACTCTTAAAAATTTTAATGAATAGGCTCACTTTTCTAGATCAGTCAATGTTTATTTATTTCTTTTGTGTGTGTGCTCAATGATTTTCACCCGTCTCATTCTCAAATTGATTTCAGGGTTAATCCGAAAACACAACGCAAATGTACAGGGCTTATGGATGTTAGTATATTACTGTTAAAAAAAATCTTAAGTGTTATGTCAACAGAGTAGGAAACCTTATTGGTACCGTGATTATTTCACCATAACATATTGGAGCCATGACGATTTTGATCATAACAATATTTAGAGTGCCGCCATGCCGCACTGAAACTATTCATTTACAAGCATCCATGTCTTCTCCGAAATTCATTCCGGGCGTTCGGTATCGTAGTAGGCTTCCCTAACCACCAGTCGCAGTCCTATCGTCAGCAGCATTAGAAACATTCTAACCCACATGTTCGCCAAGATCCTCACTCATCTGGGTGCCCGCTCATACGGGAATAGAAGGAAATGAGAGAGCAGATGTTGCTGCATAGAAAGCAGCGGATTCATCCACTTTGCGAGAAGTCCCGACCCTTAGGCCAGCCTCGTACCTAAAGAATCGGTCATTCCATCAGCTCCTAAGAATATGGCAAGAACGTTGGGATCAAACCTCCACAGGGAGACGTGTTTACAATCTCATTCCCAAGGTCAAGACAAAAATCCAAACTAATAGCAATTACATGACGTATTTCTTCACTGGTCATGGGCCCTTTGCTTCATACCTCTGCCGCTTTGGCTTGAGAGAGAATGGTAACTGTGAATGCGGGAAGGAGGGTCATCCAGATCATTTTGTGTTCTTCTGCCCACGCACAGCACTTAACAGCCTCAAGCAACCAAGAGCCAGATTCTGGCCAAATTGGTTCTAGAATCTTCAGAGTTGCCCAGCAGAAACTGAAAGCAATAATTAACTACTGTACTAGCAATTACTCTTCTGACAGTGGAAGATAGTAGTCATAAAAGTCTATATAAGCTAGTTCAATATGTCAGCAACAGAGTATGTGTATGTATGTTCAATATGTAATTTTGTATTTATGCTGTGCCAGGTTCTCATACATAAAGTTCGTACTGTATCTAAATGCTGTAATGTATCTGTACATGTTTATATCTTTTATTTATGGTATCGAATTTATACTAAGGATCCCGCGTACCTCAATGGCATGCTTCTTGTAAACTTTAACTATCATGATAACGTATATATATGGGTGTATATATCAATATGAGTTAGAGTATGTATACTTTAATTTGTTTCGGAATATCTATGTATGTAAGTGTGTATATATCTGAGTTTGTATTTATATGCATATACATATATTTTGAATGTACTCTTCTTCAAGTGCCTTGTATGCACATGTGTATTTCTTTGTACATTGTTGTATTCTTCTTCAAGTGCCTTGTGTGCACATGTATATCTCCTTTTTTGCATTTTATAAATGTCGTCTATGCCGGGGCTGCCCAGGTCTGCGGCCTGGCAGCTAGTGGTTGAGTCCCGCTGAGTTGGTAACCAATCTGCATGGATATATCTATACCTGGGTCGGAAGCCAACTCAGCAGTTTACTCCCCTAACCACTATACCGTCTGGGTGACAACGTAAGTATTAAAGAGATAGGATAAGGATACAGTTGCAAAATTTAATCCACAAGTGGCATACTCGCTTAGCGGTTGGTCTAACATACGTAAACAAAATTATTAATAAATTAAATTTTTAAAGTACCCAGGTGAAGCAAAGTTTATTTTTAAGATAATACTGTATAAATGTTTTCTTTTTCTGTTGTCGTTAATCTTTTACAGTCGTCAAATTAACCCTTTGCACTCGAGAGCTAGCTCTCGGCCGCTATAATGCTCGAAAGTTTGTACATTCTCTTAATGTAAAAAAAAAGGAAATATTTTCAGGAATACGAAGTATGCAAATTAATGTCGTACTAAGCTTTGATGTATAACAACATATTTTACGTAAAGTAAAATGATTTATTACTGCTGAAGGTAGGATAGTGTCATTGTTTTTCATTGGATGCGTGATACCTGTTTTATGATTGAAATATTGAATATTTGTGAATACGTACGTAAATCTTGTTAAGCAACAAAATGATTTTGCGTTTTATATGTACGCTAAAAAATTTCTTTTTGCGGAGATATATTTTGCAGAAGGAAAGTAATGTCTTGAAAGTTTAACCTAAAAGTTCTGGGTTTATATTCTTTCGCAAAACTTTAGGGCATCGAGAAGATTATTCTGCTTAAAACTTCACATATAAATTGGAAAGTTGATGCTATTTCAAACACCTTCAATACAATGAATCAAATTTTACTTAATAAAATCAGTTGCTAACTGCTGACTATAAACCCTCAGTCTCCAGTGTTTCTTACCAGAGTTCATCCTTTAAGACTGACTGATCTAGAGAAATGAAGACACATATAGAGATCAGACTATCACAACTTAAGCATTCCTATTCTAGAGAAAGGAACAAATTCCGAGAGGTCTGGATAGCAGTTCAATGGATGATCTAAAGAAATGAAATAAACCTTAAAGTGTAGAGAATTGTAGCACTATTAACCCGCGAGTACACGCACTGATCCGACGAACACGAGAACACGCGCCGGGTATGTCATACCCGAATAAAAATATTGTAAATAAAAATTTGCCGAAAAACATTAATCGTTTTTTTAAAAGAAATTAAAATGTAAAACCAAATTAATACTTCATTTTAGATAAAATAGGAAACAATAAGGAGAGGAAAAATTATTTACTTACAATTTTTTTAACATTGTTTACAAAATGGGGTCATATGTTCCATTTATATACTTTTGCTATAATTTTCACAAATGAATCTAGTCTTTCTATCGTCTTTCTTGGAGCACTGTGTACACCTCTTGTAAGTCATTTCAGGTTTTTTGGAGGGCGGTCCATTGTTAACATGTTCATCTAGGTCAGAGTTCGTCCAGAATCGGGAACCACAGATGCTCGTCGTCGTTCATTTTGAACATTTTCTATTAGCTGCATCCCTAAGGCTTTGAGAAAAGTACTCATCACGTTCACGAGTTAAATTTTCTCGTATTGAATCAATATAAATATTTGTATTATCAACTACGTGTTTTAAAATATCTTCATCGATAAGCAATGACAAGAACTCTAGAGGTGTTGAGACGTCTTTAGAATACTTTGTATTTCCAGAGAGTTTAGTTATATTTTTGGCCCCAATTCTAACATTAGTCCGGAATTTATTTTTGTTCCATTTTACTCCATTTTTTCCAACATAAAACTCATTGCTACATTCCAGAGTTTCATTTTATGTTTCTGTATCTGAATCACTAACTCTATATGGATGAATCATGATTACTAATTATATTCTTCCTCTTCTTCACTAAATGAATCCTCATCAGAAAACACTGTTTCAAGGAGATTTCTCAATCTTTTCATCTCTTCATCGTAAGGAATATACGGCCCCATGCTTACAACTCAAGACAAACTTATACTAAAAGCTTGAAAACGAGAAGTTGCGAAGTGACTCACTGAGAAACGCCAGTACACGCGCGGGTATGACATGCCCGAACAATGCTGGTCCTAAAAAACCGTTGCACTTGCCACCTCAGGAATTTCCCCCATTTAAGTATGTGACCTTGAACTCAGCTACACCAAGTTTCATCCTTTTATGAAAGAATTGTCGAGAAATATACAAAAAATGCACATGGGTATGACATACCCGCCGCGTGTGCTCGCGGGTTAATAGCCTACTAGACTAGAGAAATAAATAAACTCCCAAGTGTCCAAGAACTGTAGTTCAATACCAGTGGATCTTGAGAAATAAACAAGCTTACAAGGATGGGAAAATCACATTTAAGAAACTTAAGCGATGGGATCCGAGGACGGCAGTTAAAGAATTTACTCGCTGATAAAGAGAAGTTGAAAGAGAAACTTACGTCTTGTTCTTCGTCGACTCCGATAGCCCGTCTAAATATGCCCACAACAGATTTTCGGAATCTTTCCGTAAATGGAACTCCGTTGTCTGGCTGCCCGATATATGATGCTTCTCTTTCTTCTGAGGATTCTTCCGAAAGATGACTTTTCTGCGAGTACATTCTATAGGCTTTTTGGATGGTACGGGCCGCCGAGTCTGCCTCGTGGATGCTTTTGCGAACCTGGTAGCCCCTGTAAGCTGCCTGGATGGTCTTAGCTGCCATCTCTTCTGCGTAGAGGGCGTGTCGCTCGGCGTCGAAGATATTCGTGTCCTGAAAATATTAGTAAGAATGTCATCAAAACTGAGTGCCAAAGGAAGAAATTCAGGAAATTATTTGTCTATGGCTTAAATAAATAAAATTTTCATTGAGAGTCCAAGAAATGACACAAAAGCATAGAAGGAGTCTAAAGGGAGACAAATTAGAAAATATTCGTAATAAAAATATCATATTAATTATAATAACTTGTAGAGTTTATTAATTTAGAAGCCAAACAAGAAAAACCCGAATTATATTTGCTAATTTTCACAGGACTAGTTTCGATGGCTTTACCGAACCATCATCCTCAGCTGCCAAAGCGCAAATGAACGAAATAAGATATAGTGATTAGATAAGATAATAACAGAATGACAGGACAGGAGTTAAGCTACTGGCGCCATCTATTGATGAAACGAGAACTAACTTGTTGTTTGACTTCTAAATTAATACTCGTCTGGCGTATTATTTTACCTTAATTGTAGATGTTACTTTAAGTTTCTAACAATTATTTTACGTTTAAGCAAGCTTTACTGCCTATTCTCGTTTCCCATTTACTATTCTCTACCAGAAGGAGTTTTTAGTACCGCGTTTTACCCAAATGAGTTAGGAGTATGTAAGGAAAGTTTAACTTACTTCGAGAGAGAGTGCTTAGCAGTCATTAGTGGCGCTTGTTTGCCGTCTGTCTACTTCATTCTTAAATCTACTGCACTCGGCCGTATTGTAAGTGCCTGCTGATAATCGCCGACTAAGTTAAATTAAGGGTCAACTACGTTAGGTATTTGTGTCTAGCTTCGACAAAGTCTGCTTAGTTCAGTATTAGATTAGTTTGTTATTTTCTTAACTTGAGTTAAAAACCCCCTTGGAGGCTTTTCTGTAAGCCCGAGAAGGGGCCATCTGCTGTTATTTCTCTGAGTGAACAAAAGAGTATTTTAACCCTTCTTTAAACACTGTCTTAAATACTCGAACTCAGCGATAAGTCGCTACGTAGTTCACTAGGCTCTTCTACATTTAGCATAGACAAAGCATTGAAGAACATTATAAACTTTATAAATGTTTATAAAAATGATCAGGCTAGGTTATTTGAATGCAGAAAAACAAACGAAGGTTATCTGATAAGGGAAGAAATGCCTTCGTAGAAGACTTTATAAGGTATTCACGATACACATGGGAGGAAAGACGAAAACTAGCCATGCAGGTAACACTTTCGCCTAGGATCGAACCCGGGTCAAACTATAAGCGTTCAGCAGTCTTAAGTACTCGCAGTTGGCTGGGCTAAAATATGATCAGACGTTTATATTATAAACAAATGCATTTAAATTACATCTCTTACATGTATTATTTAAAATGCGAACTGTTCTACGCAGACGTACGTAAGATATGGCGTTAAGGACACATTTTACTTTTTACAATAGTGCGGTAAATATTCATAAAATATCAATGGAATGCATCTTAAGTTAAAAGCATTTAATGGTCTATTGATTAAATTCGCTATTAGTTCTTTCAAAATTTAAATTAAAAGTAATAGTAAGAAGGAAAAGATAAGAAAAAACTAAATTTAAATAATTAGTTCACTTTGACATAACGGTGGTGTTAATCTTTACGATAGTTTCATGTAATTTACGACAGATTTTAATTTGCAGAGTGTTGCCACAATGTATCAGCCGTCCGAAATTCTTATAGAATGAATGCAGTCATGGGTTACAATTAATAATTTATAACAGCACTTTTAATTGATCTGTAAGACATACATTCCGAATATACACCGATCCAAATCGATAGATAAGACTTTGCTGAGAAAATTCAGCCAAAATTAAAAAGCCGCGTATAAAGCGATTTCAAAATCACCTTTTTAATCCATTTTTATAAATCACCACATGAGGAAATAATTTGCGGTTACATAATGTCGCGAGATGTATCAAACGAGCTTAAGATTAACTCCAGTTCACCTTGAATTACCATTCGAAAAATATGGATGGTTGGTTTGTTTTATTTGATTCTGGCGAAGCTCCCAAAGGAATCAGTAAAGTCCAGAGCTGCCTTTAGGGCTGTAAGTTCTGCCTGAAACACCGAGTTACTGGGATGAAGCTTCTTAGCCCAGGAATGGATTATGTGGTCACCCTCCATTGCATACCAGGCACTGCCAGTCCCGAATTCTCCTTTAGAGCCATCAGTATATACGGCTAAGGATTGTAATGCACTTAGAGGATTACAGTTTGCTTCTATATCGAAGTCTGCAGGGTGGCAAGGAGAGTGGGCAATGTGATTCTCGTAGTCCGAGGATACATAAGTCTTACTCCAAATAGTAACGTCTTGTTTTAGTCTGATCACTTTCAACACAACACTCTCGCTCTGTACTATCAAGTGCAGAGGCGGAAGCCCAGCCAATACATTTAATGCAGTTGTAGGAGAGGTACGGAATTCTCTGCAGATGCCCAGAAGAAATGGTCTTTGCGCGGAATTTAATGCATGTTGCATATTAATTGTGACATTGACGCCCCATACGGAAACGCCATGAAGAGCTATGTGCTCAGCGACTGTGACATACCATATTTTAAGCATCTGTGAGGAGACTCCCCAGTTAGCAGCAGCTGTTCTCCGCATTGTATTAGACAATTTATGTAGCCGTTTTTTAAGATCCTTGATGCGAGGAAGCCAGGAGAATCTGTCGTCTATAATCACACCCAAGTAGCGGAAACGTCTCATGAATCGTATGCCATGAAGGTTTACGCACGGGGTACGCTCGTGCCTTTTTCCTGGTTAAGGAAAAGACAACCTTCATGGAGGACTTTCTAAGGAAAATTGGCTCGTACACAAGCTACGCATTGGAAAATCCATGAAAACGCCCATACAGCCAGGTCGTTCGTAGCGATTGTAGTTCCGGACAGAACTATCAGTGTTCAGACACATTACCGCTCGGCCGCCGGTGGGCAAAATTAGGGATGAGAACATTGTAGTTCGTAAGGGCAGTTTTGGTGTCAACAGTTTCTTTTAATCTTCTCAACTTCCGAGCATGCGCATCATTTGGCGCTTTGGCAATAGCAGCGCAAATTTCACTTTCTCAATAAAAGTTCAATTTCTGAGAATAAATAAAGGTTCAGTTTCAATTCAACTTCTAAGACGTATATTCTTTTTTTTTTCCTCCTAAGCTGTCCTCTCGCTGTAACAAGTAAAATAAAATTCTTTATTTATTCTTAAAGTGGAAAATGGCGGAACTCAGAGGATTATTATTTTTTGCGAGGAGGAAGGATGGTTAAAATTAAAACTTGTCATTCTTTCCCAGCAGTGCTGTGAATGGAACTGAAGACGATATTATCTGTGAGTCGGAAGACAGCAGCGTCAACAGTGAAATAGAGCCTAATAATATTCATCCAGAATTCCGAGTGTTATGGAAAATTGTTATGTGTTATTTGTGTACAAAAAGTGTGCTGCATTGCTGGGACAGAGAGGGAGGGTGAAAAAACAAAACAAACAAAAAAAAAAAAAAAACCTTTGCAGCGGGATTGTCATAGAACCTACTGAAAAAATCGGGAAAATTCCTTCCTGAGATGTGAAAGATGGCATGGCGGAGCAGTGAAAGAAGAAAGCCAAACCTTGGAGGCTAAAACACTATCTCCAACGTGAAAACCCCTGCTAAGCTGAAGGTTTAATTTTTTTCACCGAAATGAGAACGACTGTTTGGAACCAGCAGCCCAGGAGTCTGCCTGAAAGAAACTGCAGAACGACGGAGTTCCAGGCCCCAGCCCCAGGGACCAGCATTTAAATAATTTCCTCTTATTTTTCTTTTGTCTTTACAGACTTCTTCTCCGGCTTATTGTATCCAACAACTGAACTATGAAAAATTTGTATGTACAGAACTCCAGTGTACTAATAGAGGGGCCCTTCCAATATTTTTAGAATGTTAATTAATTATGAAGGTACGTGCCTCTTTATTTTGTCTTGTCAGCTAACCATGTTAACTTTGTGACCCGTCACCACCAAATTAAAAATGTAACTGTAAACTTTTGATGTCACTAAATAAACGTAAGGTTGATTTTATTTACTTACTTGCATTGTTTTAAATTTAATTAATTTTTGACTTTGACACTGAACCAATATACTTCTATTTAACTGTGTTATCGCAAACTTCCACAACGCATTTAAGGCTTATACAGCGAATTGTTATACTGACTGTGCACACATGAATTACTCTCTGAAAATTTGTTTACAGATATTGAACATCTATTTACCTTATTAATTAGTGACTTACTTACACTCAGTGCTATGCCTATTATATTATAAGTGTTGTTAATTAGTAATTCTTTCCCAGCAGTGCTGTGAATGGAACTGAAGACGATATTATCTGTGAGTCGGAAGACAGCAGCGTCAACAGTGAAATAGCGCGTGATAATATTCATCCAGAATTCCGAGTGTTGTTAATTAGTACACATAATGTTAGATGAAATATGTTATATTGTTCAATACATAATACACAACACGAGAATTGCTAAAATATTTCCAGTCAAATACAAATAAAAAAAAATTCTGTAAGGTTTCTGACTAAACTTGTCGCCCAAAATGGTTTGTTAATGTTTCTTATGCTCTCTCTGAACACGCAGTCTACCAGTCTGCTGATACACTCACTTTTAGTAATCTATTTTTTTTTTGTCCTTTTTCGCTTTATTTTAAGCATTATTTTCTTCGCGCTTATGCCATATGTAATTCAACAGCAAAATTACAAAGTATTCAAAACAACGCATTTTTAGAATTTCAAATAGACAGTCTCGGCCGCTGGAGATTAAAATGTTTCATTCTATTCAGTGTTGCCATTGCTCGCTTGAAATGGTTGGGTTTGTTAACAAAAAATTAGTTAAAGTTTTACAAAATATAAAATAGGTAATTAAACAAATTTTAAATTCAAAATGCGGGTTTCCAGATGCCCAAATTCGGCCGTAGGCCTACATTATTCGAAATTTGAGGTCTCTAGGTACCAGTGATTTTTGACAATGCAATAAGCATAGATACACTGATGCAGATTC